GGTCAAGCACAACAATCCCGAGACAACCAGGAATGTAGTTGCCTTGAATATCGTGAAGCCTTATGGTATACTTCGTTTTCGTGTTCGAGTTTACGTGCATTGTTGCGTTCGACGCCCTTTGCGAGTAGAGTGTAGCCATGCGACAAAAGATGGATTTTAAAAGCTGCCCCACAACTTCCCTTCTTGTAGAGAGGGCGACAGTTGGCATCCGGGCCACGGTCCCTGGAGAGCTGTTCTTGGATAAGAGCACGAAACTCCGCTGGCTGGATCCGTCGCTTAAGGTGAGCTTGATAGTTCGGGCAGGAGGCGTCGAGCGGACCATCGTCTCGTAGGGCCAGCAAGCACTGCTGGGAACAGTAAGGTTGGCTTTTGATCTTTGGTGGTTCAGCAGCATGGTCTATCCAATCCGCATCGCTGTCCTCGCTGGATTGCCCTTTCTTACCAGATTTTTGATACGGGTTAGAGCGGGCTCGAGCGTTTACAGTTCGTCCACGGCGTGCGGATGGTGACAACGGAGATGGAGGTGGAGACGTTGGGGGGGAAGGGCTTCTTGATCGGGGTACAATATCTGTGTGTGGCCGGCATCTGGGTCGTAATGTCATCTGAAAAGGAGGAAGCTTGGAAGGGCGTCGGCCCCGATACAGAGGTGAGGCATGCTTCTGCCGAGCGGTTGGAGGTGTTTGCTCCAGGATATCCGAGTATTCAACCGGCCAGATACCAAGTTCCGCGACGGCATCATACCATTCTTGCGGGGCAGGAGGGGACACTAGAGCTCTTAAGGTAAATGCTAGTACCTGAGCGACGGCAGTTAAATGGAGACTGTCATCATTGATTTCTTCGACATCTAGGCTGGGAGTGCAGACGGAACACATGACGGATGACGGATCGTCAAGAATGCGTAGAAAGATAAAGGCTTCTCCGGTGCACACATAGCCGTACCGGATTCCCTTGGCAACCATGTAGGAGAACAACTGTGTGATGACGGCAGCGACTAACCGCTTCGAGCAGAAATCAGGATCATCTGACTCCTTACCAATTATTTCTTTGGAAGGATGAATGTCCTGAGCCAGCCCTCCCACGATTTCATCCCGAGTGAGCTTGTGGGGCGCCTTGTACTCGATAGCGAGCGCTGGGATGTGCTCATCGCCATCCTGGCGATAGATGCAGAATCGATCTGCCTGTCCTCCCGTGACCACCGTGGTCTCTTTTTTCTTTGTTTTATTCTTCTTGCCCATTCTCTTTCCGGTACTTGATTCAGTCCCGACCATGGGTTCAACGGACGACTGCTGATCACCGGGTTCAAATCATCCGCCCGCGTTGAAAGCCCAAGGTTAGCATGGCTTTCAAAGGTAATCGATCCGCGCAAGCCGAATGCCCGTTTAAGCTCATCATTCTCATATATTCGGTCTACTATGGCCCGCACTTGATTTTCCACCGTTTCCCGTTCATAGTACCGAAGATCCCACTCTGAGGAAATTGGGCTGATAAGTTGGCGAACGTAGTCGAGCTGATGTAGGGAGGGGAAGAGCTTTTCTGTCAAGAAATGGGGATGCTGATCGAGTTTGTGCCACACCTTCATTTGCTCCTCAGTGAATGTCTCCCACAACGTGATGCGAGATGGAACCCTCCGATTTGTCGGTCTCGTTACCGCGCCTTGAGTTGTCCGAGTAGGGTCTGTCACAATCTGGATCGCGACCAACAATTCATGGCAGGCATGTAGAAAGAGAGGCAGTGTTGATGACTCCGCACTCGAAGCCAGAGCTTCTGCTTCTTCACGTCGTCGTTGCTCTTCTTCACGTCGTCGTTGCTCTTCTTCACGTCGCCTTCTTTCGCTTCTCGCCTCAGCTTCCGCGTCTTGACGCCGTCGTCTTTCTTGATCAAGTTCAGCCAACAATTCTTGTATTTTAGGATCCATTCTAAAGGCATAATCGTATTGTAATCTCCCTGCAATGCTGTAGGTGCTTAATTACAATTCGGAAAAACTACATTGAGCAAACATGGTAAACAAAGTGAACGGAACGGATTATCTTACTTCCGAATATATTTTGAGAACACCCTTTTATTCTGGAAATAATTTTGCTCTGGCATGCGGGTGGATATGGTGAAATATAGACTCTACTTAATTGAGCATATGTAGATTACTTGACTTGCTTTAGCAATCGAGAACCCAGCGCATTTAGGCTCTGCAGAGGTGAGAAGAAGTTGTATTGCAGTGACTGCTGGAGTGACGTATATCCGCTAGTCGTGGTGTATGGGCTTGGAGAAGCTTTTGATGGCAGAAGGTAAAATCGGTAACAGGCCCGTGATACTGGAAGCAAGGCGAGGGGGCTTTGGCGAGTGCAAGATCAACGAAATAAATTTGTAGCCGCACAAATTCGTGTAAGATGATTTGTGGTTAGGATAAGCTTTGGATGTTGGTCCTATACAAGATTGAAGCGCATTTCATGCAACAGCCTCGACGAAAGTAGATGTTGTGGAACAAATTTGGAAAGGTAGCTCCTTGACGAAGAAATCTATTAATTTCACTAAGTTAAGTTAACTATGGCCAGGATCATGATGATTCCCCCAAGTGGCCAGGCGATTCAGTTAGCTCGGCTCGCGATGAGTAGATGCTATGGAAGACGAGCCCTGGGTCACTGCGCAATGACATCACAATATGCAGGCACTGCTTTAATTGATGCAAAAGATATCTAAGGTGCACGTGCTGCCCAAGTCCAATCCTATTATTGTCATGCCTCACTCAATATTCTTCATCGTGGCATTAAACTTCCATTCCACAGCCCATCCTCAGTCAATCCATTGCCCAGTTGTCAATGCATACATAATTTGGGACAATTGCCACTCCATCTTTGGATGTTTAGGGATCCGTTCAAACAACATATCTGTAAACAATACTGCAGTCCACCGTCTTGTAGCTAATGCTGCATATTCAAATCCTTCAGGATAAATCCCAGCATCACCCCAGTCAATCAGCCAAACCTTGCCCTTGGGGTCCAGTATCAAATTCCGGAGTGCAATATCTTGATGTGTAAGAACCAACTTATCAAAACTGAACAGTGGAACAGTATCTGGAGCTTGCTTGAAACTTTGGCAAATTTCAAGTTTGCGGTTAAACCAAGCCTCCATTGCTGTAACATCCCTGAATGGACCACCTCCTATATCACTAAACCAGCACCCTTTGGCCTTGCAAAATTGACAGTCTACCGGGCCTGGTTGTTGGGGTACCTGAGCTGACTGCAAAGCAAGAAAAATAGAAGCCACCTGGGAAACAACATCTTCGCGCTGAGCCTGACTTAAGTCCTCCCAACAGTCCTGGATAATATCGCCTTCAATAAAATCCATGATAAAGTAGCAGTGGCATCCGAAAAATGTGTCTTGTGTCTTGATATTGAGAACTCGATGAACTTTAGGGACCGAGATTGATGTTTTTGCCTCAACTAGCTTCATAATTTCTGCTTCACATGGTCGTACAAGCTCCCCTCCTTTGAGAACCAACGTGCGGGAGAGGCGCACAATACGTGTTCCCTGATAGTCGTGGAGCAATGGCGCAGTATTGAAGAGTTCGATCAGAGTTTCATCGGGGACTTTGGTTATATCGTAACCATCGAGGGGAAACTCGGTCCAGACTGTCTGCTCGCAAGCTGGTAGAGCATCTTCTGTCAGCAGCTTCAAGATTATGGCGGAGGATTTGCCTTACATCAAAATTGGGTGTACCAAGACGTACAACCTTCGTCATTTCGCAGAGACTTTGTGGATTATTATCCTCTCATTAAAAGTTGAGCAAGCGAAATGCTCTCGAGTATCCTGCTTTTCTTTCCTTTGCTGATGTTTTAAGCCCAAGGCCCTAGCAAATCACGTGCCCACCCCTCGCAACCTTGCCAGCTCAAACCGAGTTAACTCACGCAGATTTGACCAACGGAGCAATCATTTCAGCCGACATCACAAGTTGCCTTTTTACTCCATATCCATGGGTGGTCCAATCCATGTTGGGCGCAAGGACTTCGCATACGGCGCTGTTTCAGTGGTATCCAAAGCTGCGGCACAGCAAGAGTATCCATTCCGTCGCGATCAAATAATTACGCTGTAGGATTCATCTTCGCCTGGTTCCTTGCTCGGCGGTTCTATCCGTTCCCACATTCGCGTTGTGCATCAAAGCCAAGCCGGATCAACCCTTTGACCATAATCCTCCCTTTGATTATATATATCACCATCTTTTCCTAGCGAGTTATATTCTCTCGCAGAGTATCATAGATCATAACTTCCTAACAATTCTGCATTTTTGTTCCCCTGTTTGCTTCCCATCACATAATATTAGCATACCAACCTAATTTTTCTCCCCTTACCAGCTCCTAGTTAATCTCACACCAACTCAACAGTCTTTTATACCGTCAAAATGGCGGGACTTTCACAAGAAGATCGCATCATTATCAAGAACCATCCTCTAACCAACTTAGTTGACCGTTTACGAGACGCGCTTCAGGAAGCTGAAAGAATATATGAGTCGCGTCTAATTTCCTACGATGGGGCCGTTGATAGCCTTGACCAACTGTTTCAAAATGTGATTTCAAAACTTGTCTATACGTTACAGGGAGAGGGTGCAGCCTACAGCCTTCCGTCGCGGATAAATGATGGAAATATGGCGTCTGATCTAGCACAATTATTCGAGCGCCTCCAAAAGGCAAAAGGAAGCTTCAGGTACGACGACTACCATCCGCTGGTGCACCTGGTTATTCAAAGGCCTCCCACTGAATCCCAGAATGCCGAACCCTGGAACTTCGATGTCTGGAAAGCTGTATTTACCCTCATTGACACCCTCCCTCGACGAACAACTCCTCCGGCGAGCGTCCCCCCATTCTTTGACGGCACCCCAGTCAAATCCACCTCGTCATCGCAGAAAGGTTCCGAGCAGACACTTGAGTTGGTGAATCCAAGAATCTTCGAGGAGATACATGGCTGCACATTTCGAAACGTCGAGGGCTTCTTTGAGAAATATTTTGAGGAGAAGAACTGGAGCCGCAAAGCAGATGCCATCTGTCGACGCGTGCTGGCCCCAACCAGCGACGGTAATTGGGCCCAGTTTCCCGATCCTCCTACACAGAACAATGTCCTCACCTGGTGGTTTCGTCTTCAAGAAGACCTTCTCTTGGAATCACGCGGCATCTACTACACCACGGCGAGCAAAGCGGATCTTACTGGTTCGAAGGCAGAACGGCAAGTCGACCTTCTTTTGCGAGCTAGGGGTGGTACCCCCTCGCGAAACAAACACGACTGGAGAGACATCCTGGTAGTTGGCGAGCTCAAAAAATCCACGGAGGAGATCAAGACCAAGGACACTCTGCTTCAGATGAGCCGCTACGTGCGCGAGGTCTTTACCGCCCAGCCCACCCGGCGGTTCATCCACGCGTTCGCCGTCTGCGGGACCAAGATGGAGGCGTGGGTGTTCGACCGTTCGGGTCCCTATAGCTCCGGCATCATCGACGTCTACGAGGACTCAAGACGGTTCTTTCAGGTGCTTGTTGGCTACACCATGATGAGTGATGAGGAACTAGGACTGGATAGTTTTATTGCTAGGGATGAAGACAGCAACAAATCAATAACCATCAAAGGGCCTGGAACCTTAGACGGAAAAGTGCTGCGGCTGGGTGAAATACTTTCCTTTCAACGTGCCATCGTGTGTCGCGGGACCACGTGTTTTCTCACAAACGATGGACAAGGCGTAGCTAAATTCTCGTGGGTGTCGGACAAGCGGCGGCCGGAGGTGGAACTCCTCAAGCTAGCATGTCAAAAGAATGTCCAAGGAGTCGCAAGGATCATCGGTCACGGTACCATCACCAGCATCGCCGACATGCGCTGCGGTCTGACGTTCGACAAGCGCCACCACTTCAAAAGCGCACCCCCCAGCGCAGCCTCCTCATTTCATCAATCTCAGCCGCTCATCGAGCCGCGCCGCTTAGATATCCGCCGAAAGTCATCTTCCAGGAAACGCAGATCCCCGGATAAGGGGATGCAGGTGTCCAAACGATCGCGTTCCATCAATCAACCATCAAGGGACGCCCAGGAGGAGAACGAACTAGCTTTCTCCATTCAGTCAGCGCACAAACCGAGCCTCTTCGACAGAAATGGCGAGGAACTGTATGACAACCGTGTCCTCCGCTGTCTAGTGATATCGCCAGCTGGCCGGCCGATCTACAAGTACGAATCACCCTTGGAGCTGCTCAAGGCACTTCGCGATGCAATAAAGGCGCATCGATCTCTTTACCTGGATGGAAACATTCTTCATCGGGATATTTCGGAGAACAACATAATAATCACCGATCCAGACAAGGCGGATGGCTACTCTGGCATGCTGATCGATCTGGATCTTGCCAAAGAAGTTGGAAGTGGGCGAAGCGGCGCGCGGCACCAGACTGGCACAATGGAGTTCATGGCAATCGAGGTGCTGCTGAATATCGACCATACCTATCGGCATGATCTTGAGTCTTTTTTCTACGTGCTTATCTGGCAGTGCGCCCGCCACGGTTGGGAAAAATTAATGCAATTGCAGAAGTTATATCAGTTACGGGCCTGGTCAGACGATAGTATGCTAAACAAATGGTGCACGGAAAGTCATGAGAAAAACCTCAATCAAGGTGAATTTGAGCACATCTTAACGAATGATTTTTCTCCACCGAAAGACAGTATGCTGAAGGAGTGGTATAATGGAACTTATAAAAAAATCGCAAGAATCAAGCGAACCGATATGGGTGCAGATGGGCTTGAGGATATTTTGACTGAGTTTCCTCCAGCATTTGTGTTTGCTAAACCGCTTTGCAGAGCTATACGAGACATTCTTTTCCAGTACGGGGACAGAGGAATTATCGTTGGCACCCCGCAAGATCCGAAGCGTTTATATAATCCTGTTATCAAGGCATATGATGATGCAATCGCCAAAATCAAATCTTGAGTGTGATGAATCGGGCAAATATATCTCTTCACGTCAAACATGTAACTACTCAACAAACCCTCAAGGACCATTTACACAAGTGCAAAATAGAAATCCGTGTACAGTCAAGTATTTCCAGAATATTTCTCGACAGAAGTGAAGGCGCATGATCACCAGAGAGAGGGGCATCAGTTTCACGTGGTTGTATGCTTTTAGAGGCTTTCAAGGCGAGCGGGACTGATGTCACTAGAGCGCGAGCGCAAATCATTCCAACTCTCTTATGCCACCAAGCCTCGAGATCAGCCTTCGCGTTCTTTACGAGGTCTTTGTATCTTTCAAGGATTTCAGCATTGAGAGCGGATCTGCGACTGACCCGGTTATTAGTCAACCGGCCGTGTGCCTATGCACAAGACCAGCCAGTGCTTGTGTGAAACAGTTGATGTCGTCACCCATGTACCTTAACTTGGCCCAGTCTCGAAAGCTCGTCCGACGACAATCGGACCGCGATGAACATTTCATAATTTCCTCTTTAAATTCTTTGCAGGCATTTCCGCAGCGTAGTAAGGGAAGTTTAAGAGCAGAGAGGTCTACATTGGCATTGACCGTGTCCGTGAGTGGGCTTAGAACCTCACCCAATTCCTCAAGCTCCTCAAGAAGGTCGCGTACAGTTTTAGGATGAGACTGAAAACGCTTGATGGTCTCATAAAGCGTGATGCTAGACTTAAAGGCAAAGGCAGTCAAAGTCAGTAGTCCGGAAGCGAGGCTTATAGGTTCTGCCATCCTGTCCATCCCTATGATAAATGGGAGAGTGGGGATGGGTGGGAAGTCGATGCTTGTGCCCCAGAATCGCGGGGTCAGCTTGGGTTTCAGCGCCCACTGGGCTGACACCAAACTGGATTTCGTCTCGTTTGAAGCTCAGGCGCTAAGCTGGGGGCACCGCAATCACCGATTAACATTACACAGCACCAATACACTGAGATTCGTCATCTTGGCACTGGGCGAGGCCGGAAAAAAATCCCTCTGAAATACGTCCGATTCCTTACTGCGTTTGGCAGGTCGAGGTGCGTACCTACAATGCTGGGATGAATTGTTCAAGGGACCACCAGAAGGGATGCAACCAGGATTCTTGCTGAGCTGATTGCCAAGTTTCCGCCAGAGGCAAGAAGAAAGTGCACACTGTTCAAGTTACGGCACATTAGCCTCGAGCAGTCTACTCTTATTTCCCTTGATAACACCTGCAGTGCTGGCCCCTGGGCAACCAGATCTCCTTTCAGGAGCCTCGCTGATACCTGTAGTTTCTGTTGCGCTTCCACAACTTATCTGTGATGGCGGCCCTTTTTGGTGTACAGATTTTTGCCAGCAGTTGTAGAGCAGGACTACTTTGTGGCTAGGGAGCACTTGGATGCACAATCACTACCTTTGATCAACACTAAAACTCTAGGAGCTTCTTGTTGCACATGCACCTTGTGGGAAAGTGCCAGCACAAGAATAACCATATCGACTATATCCAATGAGCACCGCAAGGGAGTACCACCCACAAGACCGATGGACCACATGAGGATGGCACCCACAAGGGAATAGCTGGTTCTATATTAGAATCCTACACAAAGAAAGCACATAGGCCACGCGGGCGGATAACAACCACAGCACAGTATGAACCAACAATCTCAACAACTTGGCATGGACAGAGACACTCCGATTATCCGACTCTCCCCACCCCTCGCATTCATTATCCTCATTTTCGACGTGACGGGCTGGGCGGTCAGCAATAAAGCTCACTGGATATGGAAATAAATGCTCACCGGTAACGAAATGTTACGCGCCGCATCGCGATCCCCTTTCTCAGAAGCCTGTAGATCAGGATCATATTGTTCCTGGTCCTCTGTTTCAATCGTCTCGAGTATCGCAGACATTCCCTTGAGTATTTCCATCATTTCGAGCACCTGGCTATGTGTCTCCATGATTTCTTTTGAGTGAACACTATTCTCCGCGCCCTTGATGTCTGAGGATGTTGCTGAGGGTCTTCGCATGTCATGGTTGGCATTCGGCATTGCGGCGGATTATGCTTTAATCTCCTGTTGCAAGTCAGGTGGGTTTCTGGATAGCAACAGTGTTTCTGTTGAGATACAAATTTGAGATTGATTTGCCGAGTATGATTTATGATGGTCTAAGAGTATAAATATAAATATCCGGAGTCGGAGAGGTATACACATACTCCTCTCCAGGGCTGGAAACAAATATACGGATTAAAATGAATCGAAGAAAACCCAAAGTAGAGTGACAAAGAAATGGGAGGGAAGAAACAAACAAACCAGAGACAAACAAAGAAACAGGACAAAAAAAAAGAAAATACCATACCAGAGCTGTAGGCAAGGTAGACACTGAGCTGAGATGTGATAGGCGGTATCAATGGTGCTCCTGGGCCAGAATAAAATATGAGAAGCAAACAACATCAAACGAGAGAAACCAAAGCAAACAAGCAAACAAGACGGGCAAAGTACGGAACAAATCAGAACCAAAATTGAGCCAAAATTGAACACGTTACACAGAGATTCTAACCAATTGACTTCGCGATTCCGCGTCCACCGCCCCTGCGTGATCCCGTTTTCTGGCTGAAATGCCTGTGACCCGCCAGAGCGGTCGGCGAAGGCCGTTTGTCCTTCCACTCCATGTGGAATTCTTTGACCAACTCCTCGCAGCCCGGGATCATATCACTCCGCGGTTGCCATGTAGGCATCCATGCAACACGGTACTCCAGAGTTGCCTTGCCCCCTCGCATGCGGATCCGGGAATCCAGTACCTTTTTGACCCGCCACCTCTTCCGAGCCGCACCGACGTGGTCAACCGGGATTAGGGGTCGACTCCGTGGGCGTGGAGAGACACCGGTGTGGGGTCCAGCGGAAGTGGTCACTTCGTCTGCGGTAATGAGAGGGGTTTCTGTTGAGGGTCAGTGGGAGACCGCGGGACGGGAATTGAAGGACGCTTACCTGAAACTTCTCGTAATGCCAGCGAGGCTCTGCTAACCCTAGCCATCCCATCCAGCTCGCCACCTCGATTCGTGGACGTCTCGCGGACAAACAGCATTGATGGATAAGTCGGCGTATCTGCAGACTCGCCTCTCTGCTCATCATCGTGGCTAATCACCATCGAGTCATCTACAACAATTGGGTCATCTGAGATGGGGCTGAAGTTAGCAGATCGGTAGAACATATCTGAGTGAGCCTGGAGACGGACCTCTACTTTCACCTGCCTGGCATGTGTGAAGCCCAAATTCAGGGACGCTTTCCGCAGCTATATCCGCCTTTACTGGTATATCACGGCAGCCACTGGAAGAATCACGAAGATCCGATCTGCAGGGGACTGCGGCATGGTTGGTGATATTTCTCCGGCTCCTGTCAAGCGGTTGAGTCCCGTCATCCGACGAGATCTGCTCCAGAATCCTGTCAAAATCATTTTGTGGATTGTCGGGCGACTGGGAGTGTTGACTTGCATGAAAGATGGGAGATGGAGCAGATGGAGACAGGCGACGGGGGAAAGAGTGTCCGAGCTGTTGTGAGGGGTGGGATAGGGAAGAGGAAATGTCGGCGGTGGGAAAGGGTCTCTGTGCTGGGGGATTGGGAGGTGTGGGGATTGTAGCAAGGCTCGGGTTCTGTGGTTTATGGGGATTCAGGAGATTTGGTGGTCGGTAGAATTGGACATTGTTCATGGTGACTGCGGGCATTCTTTGCTCTGTACGGGCGTGTGTGCGTGCTTTTCCGTGGGATTTGGGGTTCGGGAAGATGTGATTCTCGATCTGCAAACATTGCCTCTGGGGGAAACACCTGGCCATTTTATAGAGCGACAACCAGCCCAGCCGCTGGCAGAGTGTGGCGAACGGCCGTCCCCACCCCACTTCGTAGTTAGACCCAGCATCCTTGGAAAACCTCACCTCCGCAGTCTGGCCAGGGAGCCAACCGCCCGCTCAGCGGGAATCAATTGCAATGAAACGCATGACAATGCAAGCCGTCGAGCCTGGGTTCCTCTGAACCACACCGTCGATCGGTCCAGAGCCACGGAGCATCAGAAGTTCGCCGGGGACCACAAACCCAGAGAGATGCCCAGCGAGACCGCGTGTCATTTCGATCCTGGGTATCCATGGATATGAACGCAGATGGTCATGGGTTCGTAGAGTCGACGACGAATGGATGGGACATGATGGATACATGCGGTGGCTCGGACGCCTTTGGATCATACAAGAAGCTCCACCTCACTGTCACACGACCGCTGCGCCCCCAGCTCGCTTCACCAGCTGGAGTCACCTCAGCGCCCGGTTCACCAATGAATAAAATCGTTGGCCTGGCGATGGCCCACAGCGCGAAGCTGGAAAACCATGCCTGAATACAAGGGATACACGGTCGACAACTGCAGAACGGCCAATGCGACCATCGAAATCAGCCGGAGGTCCAGTCATTGAAGGCGGCATTCTACGTCCAGACCTCTCCCAGTCACCTCCTAGCGTACAGCCGCATTCCTCGTAATCTCGCTACGCCACAGGGGTGTCGGATGAAGGCAATCTCGAACTCCGCCGTCGTGAGGGATTTTTGCCATTGGTCGATGGCATGATGCGCATGCGCTGAATGGCAGTTCGAACGGAAGAAGAAGGAGGAGGACGACGGCAATGCGAATGAACCACAGCAGTAACAGAGCGAGGGAGCGCAGTTCGAGACGTCTGGGAACGAAGGAACGGCACAAGGTGAGCGAGGAAATGAAGAATTCGGGCGCAATGCACGTAGTTGTAATCCTCCAGATTCACATGGCCTGCCGAGAAGACGGAACAGAGCGGAAGGCACAGATCTGAGAAATTTGAAAAGGGCAGAGGGATTATTTTTCTCTGGCGAGGAAAATGTGACGGTGAAAGAGTTCGGCAATGGAGATCGGCAGATTATTTCCTGCTGGGACAGCGGGCTGAGAAGGTGGGAAGGGATAAGTGGCAAGGGAGAAGGAGAAAGCGGGACGAGAAGGGTGAGATGGAGGAGGAAAATTGGGAAGATGGAAGGTGTGTGGGCGAAAAGGGAAGAGGAGCGACCTTATATAGATATTCCGGCGCACATCGATGATGTAACTCAGGGCGGCGAGGTCAGGGCGCGCCAAACCCAAAGGGGTGACGGCAGGGCCCAGTGGGCCAATGGGCGGCGTCCGCGACGGCAGGCCAGGCCCGTTCGGGGATACCTAATTCTGAGAGTATAATTCATACAGATTTTATCAATTAATATTTGTTAATAATTAATTTACACAATCAACTCCTCTTCTGCATTCACTCATTTTTATCATTGTGATTTTATATAACTCTCAATGTTTTTCTGCTCTGTGCTCTGTGTTCATATAATTTTTAACAATTCTTTCATATAATTTTTAATATTCTTCTATTTCATGCTTTGCATTTATATAATTTTTAACAATTTTTTTATGTAATTTTTAATATTTTTCTGCTCTGTGCTTCACTGTGAAACAGCTTTTGATATTTTTTCACTCTGATTTCTTTTTTATAAAAACCCTCTTCATACAATCTTTTCTTTTGATCTCTTTTTTCTTTCTTTTCTTAATCAATTTATAATTTGTATTTAGAATAGTGTTAGATTGTTAATTGAAATATATTCATTATATAAATTAAGAGGATATTCTTCTCTACTTTCTGTAAAGCCTTTCAGACATGACAGCGGTGGTTCCTCTCAGAAAATTATATTATAATTCTATCATGAATGACTATATATCAGATCAAAAATAAATGTGCAGTTTGATAAATGCAATGAATTGAGTTTTATCAAAAATTACCATCTGAATTCTGTTTCTCCCTTTCTGTGTATATAGAAATTTCTTCAGTATAACACATCTTCATACTCTTCAGAAGGCTTCTGAAACACAAATAATGCTCATACTTCTCTAAAATGTTAAATTTATATATACATACATACATACATATCATAAATTCAACTTATATCAAATAAAATTGACAGATTAGCAGGTTCTATAAATGACAATTGCAATAATTAATCACTTTCTTTCATGTCAAATTCAGTTTCTTCAACAATCTAGATATCAATTGAGAGTGAATATCAACATCAATGTAATGTGACGGCGCCGAGGCGGTTGCTACTCGGCAGCGGCACAGAGGAGGATGGTATATAATGGGAAGCCTTATGGGTGGGCTTGATTATCTCGCTTGAACCGCGAACTCGTAGAATACTATACAAATACTGAACTACCAGAGGTACTCGGCACACTAAGAATATTGTATGAGGACAGTGGTAACTCTGGTATCTTATTGTCAAAAGATAAAAGACGAATCGCTGGCTCCTGGAATAGAGAGCCAGCATCTAGCTATTCTATATAGACAACGGGCAGCCATCCTCCCCTCACTCTATAAGCGAGGGTAGCCGAAGCAACTCCGCAGTGGCGCTGCATTGATCTGCCAGAAGGAATCCAGACCCCGTATAGAAACAGGATTCTCATATCTCATCAATCGGATCCTCTTCTATTGCATCCGAATGATGTCATAGGGTGGTTGGAAACCGGTTCGGACACCTGCGTGACGTTATGGGATAGATGGGATTATCTGAGGGGAAGCGATGGGCCGTGTGGAGCCGTCACGGGGCCTTGGCACAACCAAGGGTGTGACAATGCCCTCCCCTTTAAAGGCATAGTCCCGATGCCTCAAGATTACCGGATTGGGAATTATCTTTGTTGTGTAGCAACGGTTGCCAACCGCTTTGGCAGCGCGCGCGCTGCGCGGCATAAAGGAATGGGTGAGTCTTATTCGACGTGATTCTTCTGCTGAATGCGCAGTCCTTCTTTTTTCTCCCCCCCCCCTGGTCTGCAATAGTGAGTGCATGGGAACGTCGTCCTTGGGAAGACAGTTAGGGGCTTATTCTGATGTTTTCTAGTGGGTAAAAAACGTCTACGTGGTGCAGCTGCAGCCTCTGTCGCGGCCAAAAGAGCCAGGTTGGAGGCGGAGGCGGAGACACCTTAGCAGCTGTGGGGTTCTGCTCCTCCCCCCCCTGCCGCTGTCACACCGCCCCCCCCGCCAATCAACAGGGCGATGTATGACCCCGCATGGTCGTTCGGAGAGGACCTCAGGGAGAGCTTGGTTCCGGGGACAGCGGCTCAAATGAGTCCAGTCCGTAGTTCCCCTCTTGCAGAGCGCCCGAGCCCTGCTCAGGGTGCCTGTGGGTCGGGTCCGCAGGGTTCCTTTGTTTTCTCCTTGTGGGGAAACCCCGGTGCGGCGCCTGGCTGGCACCGCTACCTGCCTTCGCTGCGCCAAGCAGCTTCGAGAAGGGGGGATCCTTTGCACCCGCCCCTCCGCCCATTCACGCTGTTTCCGTTGCGTGAAAAACAACGACACCTGCCTTCCTGTACGTACTGCTCCTTCTGTAACGGCGCCGTGCCGGTTCTGACAAGGCGTATAGGTGCCAAAGCAGTACAGGGCCAAAGTTGTGGATCTCCAGGCGTTGGCGGATTCCGTCCGTTCTGGGGAGGTTCCCAAGGCCCGTCTGGAGAAGGAGGCGAAAGCGTGGGTCTCCGAGGTGGAAAAACACCTCAGAATGGCCGGCCCTAAGAAGAAGGGGTCGGCCGGCGCCGCCGTTGGAAGCGCCACGGAGACAAATCGTTTGTTGGAGAGGATCTCGCTCCAATTGGAGCAGGTGACTGAGGTGCTTTGCAAATTGGTAAGTTGACACTTTGTTGTACTTTCCTACACCCCCCTGCGGCGCCGCAGCGCTAACTCCACGGCAGGCAAAGGTGCCGGTGCCAGGGACTCCGTCGGTGGAGGAGGAGTTCGGTGGGGGTGAGGTGGTGGAAGAATGAGGCTTTCAGGTGTTTTCTTCGATCTTCGCGGGCTTCGGCCCTTATAGAATAATAGCGACCCTCAGGCCAAATAAAATTGCATTAATTGTTGGTTCTTCATATCCCTTTTTTCCTTTCTACCGCTCTGAGATCTTTGAGCTGCGTAACCTCATTAAACTCCTAAAAACCCCTAGGGAAAAATAGGAGAAGAGTGTTACAGCGTCTTCGAGGCACCGGCTCACCACCGCGAGATCATCTCTAAAAAACCCTTTGGGAAAAAGAAGAAGTCTCAAGCAGCAGCTCTTGCCTAACCACACCTCTGACGTGCAGCGGGGCGGTCTCTACTAGCCACCTCATATTTTGCGATCTCTTCCTCGGCATTCTCTAAATGCTCAAGCGGTTCCCATGAGTTCTCGGATGATGGATAACCTTCCCATTTGACAAGGTATTGAACTTTGTTGTAGTGCATTCGTTTGTCCAATATTCCTTCTACAAGATATTCGGTATTACCCTCAATCTCGACGCCATCCGGCCGAGGCGGCTCCGCCCCGGGTCGTTGCTTATAGGGTTCCAAATAGGAAATGTGGAAGACAGGATGGATAGATTTGAATCCTGAGGTTAGTTTCAACTCATATGCCTGCTTACCCACTACCCTTATTATCGGGAAAGGTCCCAACCATCGCTCACTGAGCTTCTTGCACGGTCTCGTCGTCTTGATGTTCTTTGCTGAAAGTAACACTTGATCCCCTATTGAGAACTTCATTGGAAGGTGTTTTCGATTATAGTATTCCGCCTGTCGCTCCTGGGCGCGGCGGATGCTTTTCGCCGCCTCCCCGTGGATTCTATCCAGAAGCTCCAATCTAGCTTTTACTTCTGGCACCGAGGGGTACTCTGTCCCACGATCCCGTTCGACATTCCGACTGTCTATCCCCCCCTTTAGGACGTCGTCCGCGACGTCACTAGGTAATGAAGGATTATACCCATAACAAGCATAAAAGGGGGACACTTTTAAGGTTGCATTCTTTGCATTGTTATATGCGAATTCGGCGGTCGGAAGGTGTCTAGGCCAGTCATTCTGATGATATGAACAGAACGCCCGAAGATGGTGTTCTAATGTCTGATTCTGACGTTCAGTCTGGCCATCTGTCTGAGGATGGAACGCGGTGCTGAGAAGGCGCCTTATCGTAAGGTGATAGCAAAAGGCCGACCAGTATTTACTGGTGAAAAGGGATCCTCGGTCTGACACTAACGATTTCGGAGAACCGTGATCACGAATGATGGCATCTAGAAACAGGTCAGCCAATTCAGGGGCTTTAACCTTCTTGTGGGTAGGGATATATTTGGCCATCTTTGTAAAGCGGTCGACAATAACTAGAATTGAGTCATATCCTTTGACTCTTGTCGACTTCGGCAGGTCAACTATGAAATCCATCGATAGATCCTGCCATGGGCCCTTTGGAACAGGCAGTGGCGCCAACTCGCCATATTGCTTGTGCCGCGGAACCTTTATCCTCTGGCAGACATCACAAGTTTCAACATACTCCTTGACATCTGTCCGAAGCTTGTCCCAAACGTACTTACGTCTCAGGAGCTCTTCAGTCTTCTCTAATCCGAAGTGCCCAGCATGGGGATCATCGTGATGAATCCTCAATAACTCCTGGCGCACCGCCCTGCTACGAGGGACAAAGACTGAACCATTTAGCAGTAGGAGTCCACATTCCCCTAGTTGCCAGCGACTTGGTTCCTCGGCGGCACCGCCCCGCTCAGGGCTTGCCCCTTCCAAGTTCGACCCGGATCCTTCCTCCTTCAACTTCTGGATTCGAGCCGCAGTAAGGGCGTCCCCCTGCTGCAACTCACCAATGAATTCTAGAAGCCGTTGGGTTGGAAGGTTGTAGACCGTTTCGTCTTCCGCCAATTCAATGGCAGCAAAACGTGGCACGAGAAGTTCATGACCTTCAGTGCCAGTCCCCTGCGGGGACCCGAGTTCTCCTCCACCTGTATAGGGTCGCGCAGCTGCCTTACCGGCGCCGTTCCCAAGCTTTAGAGAACCCCAACCCCCTGCAGCCAGTTTCTTCTGCAGTGATGGTAGAGGTCCCTTTGTAGGATCCTCATCCCCATCAACGATATCATAATCGGGTCGCCTTGATGGCGCATCGGCGGGGTTAAGCCGACCTGGACGGTATCGGATAAAGAAATCATACTCCGAAAGCAGCTCCGCCCACCTGGCTTGACGTCCTGTCAAGCTCTTTGTTGTCAAGAAGTAACGCAAATTTGCATGGTCGGTGAGAACTTGCACCGGATACTTGCAACCTTGAAGGTAGTGTCGCCAAATCTTAAAGGATTCAACTATTGCCAACATCTCTTGATCATGAGTATCATACCTTCTTTGCGTGAGCGATAGCTTCTTGGAGAAGAAGGCCACTGGTCTCCATTCACGGCGCCTTGTAGGTTCTGTGAAAAAGCCTTCTCCTACAGGCATTCCATTGCCTGTATCTCCAGAGGTTATTAACCCCCGATCCTTCCAACGTTGGAAAGTCTCCGGTGTCAACTGCGAAAAGATTCCGCAGACACCATTCCCAGATGCATCAGTTTCACACTGACTGGGTAGGCCGGGGTCGAAGTGATTTAACATCGTGGCATCTGCAAAAGCTTGCTTCAATTCTTCAAACGCCCTCACAGCGTCTTGGGTAAGGATAAACGGTCCCGTTTTCCTGCCTTTAACACTTCCCTTTAACAAATCTGTAAGGGGGGCAGCAATCCGCGAATACGCATAGATGAACCGTCTATAGAAATTCGCGAACCCTAGGAATACCTGCACCTCGCGGTACGTGCGCGGCGCCGGCCAGTCCTCGATGGCGGAGACCCGGCTCCTGTCCATTGAAATGCCATCAACCCCAACAATATAACCTAAGAAATCAATCTCCTGTGTGTAGAACGAGCATTTCTCAGTGTTCGCATAGAGCTGGTGTTGCTTCAAGCGATCCAACACCTCCCGAACGTGGGTATCATGTTCTTTTTCCGTTTTCGAGAAGATTAGGATGTCGTCCAAGTATACTATGCAGGAGACATCGACAAGGCCCCGCAGCGCCTCATTTATGTAGGCCTGGAAGGTGGCCGGAGCGTTGCAAAGACCAAAAGGCAAAACGAGATATTCAAAATTGCCGTACTTGGTACGAAAAGCTGTCTTCCAAATGTCGTCTTCGTTAACTCTTATTCTATGATAGGCGTCCCGTATGTCAATCTTCGAGAACACCCTTGCTCCGGATAATCGATCGATCATCTCATCAATTAATGGTAGTGGATAGCGATCCTTAACCGTCACCTTATTGAGGCCCCTGTAGTCTACGCAGAGGCGTAGCCTACCGTCCTTCTTGGGCACGAATAGTATAGGTGCCCCCGCTGGACTCTTCGATGGGCGTATCCAGTTCTTTGACTGCGCTTCTTCAAGATATTTGCGCAGAACGTCCAATTCCTTTACTGACAAATTGTAAAGGGGTCCGTACGGCGCTGTCGCGCCCTCTTCAAGATGGATCTTATGTCGCACTTTGGTATCAGGAAACTTCGCTGCTTCCTTTTCTGAAAAAACGTCCTTGTAATCTGTGAAGAGACGTTGCGTTCGTCCACCTTCAGTGGTAGACATCACTGCTAATCTGGCAGTGAGGGTGGCGGCTTCTCCGCCTGCCTCCAAGTCCAAGTCACCTGCTACACAGTATATCGACTCAATCTTATCCTCGAGATTCTTCCGATGGAACTCTTCGGGTTCCTCTATAGCTGCCTCTTCGTCGGTGAGGCGGTACCGCCACGCCTGAGTGACCCAGTCGATGAGAGGATTGTTTTCTCTCAACCACGGGAGACCTAGGATGACGTCCTCATCTATGATGTTGACAGCGTGGAGGAGCAGACTGCTCCCCTTGGAGGTTCCTTCAGAGTCCGTGGCCTCACACTTTGTTTGAATGATGCCGAATCGGTGGCATTTTGTTCCATCTGTAAACTTTGCGTGGCCCGGCGGACCTATCTTTTTCCAACCCTTCATGAGTGAAAAGGAATAGGATATGAAGTTAGCGTCCGCCCCGGAGTCGACTAGGCACCTCACTGGCACCTCCCCTGATGGGGTATTCATCTTCAAGGTTACATGGACTCGGAGTCGTGAGGATTGTCAATCCTCCTTGGGTTTTTCCTTTTTATCTTCAGTGGATACATTTGCCAGAAGGGGAGTCGTCTTCGAGGAGGTATCTCCTCGGTTCCTTCCCTTCTTCGACTTACGGCAATCACTGGCAAAATGACCTGAGATTCCGCAGTTAAAACAAAGGTTGTTATCCAGTCTATTTTGGCGTTCCTTTGCAGTAAGTGAAGAACTGGAACGCTTTGAGTTCTTCTTTGCATCATCCGCACCGGAGCCGTCATGGCGCCGTTTTGATCCTGTTGTCGGTTGCTTTGAGGGAGTCTTGTCCCCCTTCTTCTCATGGTGTTGATTATTCAAATAGATTCGAGAAGCCAGGTTGACAAGCTCGGTGCGATTGGTGGGCGGACTTTGATATTGCGATATCGTCGTCCGCACCTTATGAGTCAGCTTCGCGAGGTAAAGCTGCGTTTTCAATAGATCCAAATCATCAGACAGTTCCTCCCAATATTCTTCGAATCTTGCATTGAAATCGGAAGGATTCTCGTCGTCTTGTTGACGTAGTGAGTTGAACCGCTGCGCCGCTGTGAAGGCGCGGTTACGGTGGTCTTCAATCTGGTCCAGAAGGAAGTTCTTGAATTCTTCCCATGTCATGGCAGCATTGCTACGCTCAAGCTCCCTTTCCTTGGTCGCCCATGTAGTTGCAGTGGTGCCTTCGAGGAGGCTCGCGGCGTATATGACTCGTACCTCATGAGTATTAAACTGGCTCAGGTTAAGGCGGAATTTCCGTTCAAGGGCTCTCGTGAAGCTGTGGAATTCAGACAGCGTCTTGCCCTTGTAATTCGGCGGATCTCCAACCTTGATCCCTTTATCTCCATGGTAGACATAGGAGTGTAGGGGCCGCGGCGGTGGCAGGGCGGCTGGAGGGCCCATGCCAAGGTGAGCGGCGGGTTCAGGAATCTCAGATTCCTGCCGGGGTAGAGGTGTACGCGCTCTAGGGGACGACGTGGAGGCTCCCCCAGAGGGTGCAGTCCCAGCACGGGTGCGTGGGGCCATATCGATCAATAGAGCTCGACTGATTCAAACGTGTAACCAGGTCGAGCGATTCGAATTGTAATGTGACGGCGCCGAGGCGGTTGCTACTCGGCAGCGGCACAGAGGAGGATGGTATATAATGGGAAGCCTTATGGGTGGGCTTGATTATCTCGCTTGAACCGCGAACTCGTAGAATACTATACAAATACTGAACTACCAGAGGTACTCGGCACACTAAGAATATTGTATGAGGACAGTGGTAACTCTGGTATCTTATTGTCAAAAGATAAAAGACGAATCGCTGGCTCCTGGAATAGAGAGCCAGCATCTAGCTATTCTATATAGACAACGGGCAGCCATCCTCCCCTCACTCTATAAGCGAGGGTAGCCGAAGCAACTCCGCAGTGGCGCTGCATTGATCTGCCAGAAGGAATCCAGACCCCGTATAGAAACAGGATTCTCATATCTCATCAATCGGATCCTCTTCTATTGCATCCGAATGATGTCATAGGGTGGTTGGAAACCGGTTCGGACACCTGCGTGACGTCATGGGATAGATGGGATTATCCGAGGGGAAACGATGGGCCGTGTGGAGCCGTCACGGGGCCTTGGCACAACCAAGGGTGTGACAATCAAATTCATTTTTCAAAAAGCAGACAGTCTCATTGCAATATGCAGTTGAATATGCTTTAAAAAAGTTCTTCAAATCTGATAAAATATTCAATGTGATCTTTGACTTTACATTTCATGTTGAATGAGGACTTCTAGCAGTTTCAAGAGCAGTGAATATTTTGTTGAATTTGATATACAGTGGTCAGATGACACTCAATGATCCGCGCAATCTCAGCAGATATATAATCATTATTTAAAAGGCGTACGATCTCATTGATGGTAAATTCACTGAGCTGAGGGGGCATATTGGCAGATTTGATGATAAAGGTGCGTATTTAAATGAATTGAATGATATTTGAATGATTCTAGAGATATGTGGATATTTTGATTTTTTTTGCAGTGTTTTGCTAATATTTTTCAGGGGGTGGCAGAAAATTCTGTTTTCGCAAGCTTTACGTCCGCCACAATACCTAAGTTTTCATACGGCCACCAACAGGACACCAACCTGAAGATCAAATATCCCAATCGCAAGCCGATGGAAGCTAAGGCACCGAAGAATGAATACCCTCCAAAACTGGCGCCGGTTGATCTGTCCCATCACTTTTCCGTCGGGGCGAGAAATCGGGTGGGAAGCGAGGTGAAGAAGTTCTACAAATACTTTGCGATACCGGGCATCCACAACCTGGCGGGAGGTGAGCATCATTTTATATGGGTTACCTAACCATCCCTCCGAAGGAGTTGCAGACGAATAATGTAGGTAGCTTTTTACTCTGTAAATCGCTGATACACATATCAAAGGGCTTCCCCACCCATCCTATTTCCCATACGATACCCTGGAGGCCGCAGTTGCTCTTCCAACCCGAATCGATCCATCCACTGCCGATGGGCCCTCAACAGTCGCTGAAGGGGACGAGATCCTAGTATCAACCCTTCCCCCAACAGCGCGACTCACCATCCCAAAAGAAAGCAACGACACCAACCCCACAACCCGAATTGACCTAACCACTGCCCTGCAATATGGCACTGCACAAGGCTACCCACCCCTCTTCTCCTTCATCCGCCAATTTGTCCGCGAAAACCTGCACCCAAACATCCCTTACGCAGGCGGGCCAGAAGTGATCCTGACATGCGGTGCCACTGATGGCTTCTCCAAGACCATCGAGGCACTGACGAATGTCTGGGATGAGAATCGTGATTGGATCAGGGATCGAGAATGTATCCTGTGCGAGGAATTTGTGTATATGAACGCCATACAAACGGTGAAGCCGCGGGGTATCAATGTCGTGACTGTGGCTATGGATTCGGATGGGATGATGGTGGACGGGGATCGCGGGTTGAAACATATTCTCGAGAATTGGGATTTTAGTCGTGGGAAGAGGCCGCATTTGATGTATACCGTGACGTACGTTTCCCCTCCAAGCGCCATCTTTTGTGAGGCGCCTATTGTTTTTCTATCTTACTTCGTTACTTATATTGTAACATGTACTAAAGTTGATGAAAAATTTTCTATAGAATCGGCCAGAATCCAACCGGCACCGTCCTTCCCCTCCCAAGACGCAGAGACCTCTATTCCCTCTGCCAGAAATACGACATCATCATCGTCGAGGATGACCCGTACTGGCACCTCCAATACCCGTCCGCTGCCCCCGAACTGGAGGCTCACTTCCGCGGCAGCAGCTCCCTCAAATCCCGACCCCAGCCCCATTCCAATCATGCGGACACTGCACTTGCGCCCAATTACAACACCCACGGCAAAACATCCGGCTACCCCTTCCTCGACTCTCTCATCCCCTCATACTTGTCCATAGACACAGACGGCCGCGTCATCCGGCTCGATACATTTTCCAAAATCATCGCGCCCGGCTGTCGGCTGGGCTGGCTGACAGCACAACCGAAGATTATAGAGCGGATTCTGTATATAACGGAGACAAGCACGCAGCAGCCATCTGGGTTTGCGCAGGCGATGGTTGCGGGGTTGATCATGGGTGGTGGTGGTGGTAGTGGCGGGAAGAAGGATGAATTAGACAGGGTTGGTGAGGAGGGCTGTAGTGGTGATGCTGCTGGTGGTAGGCAGTCCGGAACTTGGAAGATGGAAGGATGGGTTCGGTGGCTGGAGGGGTTGCGGGAAGGCTACGAATGGCGCATGCGGACGATGTGCACGATTCTGTTAAGAGCGAGGTCGATTATTGAACACAGCCCCCTCGGCTGGTACTGCAGAAGCCACCGCAGCTACTATGATAGTGATAGCGATCAGATGACGAAGACGACTGGCAGCTCCTGCACAAAACCCCCACTGTACTCCTTCCAGTTCCCGCGGCGGTGGCATGTTTGTCTGGGTGCGCATGTGCTTCGAGACACACCCGCTCTGGTCTTGTGAGGGCGTATCCGCCGAACGACTATCGGCCGCGCTCTGGAAGCATCTGATGAAGAAACCATACCTGTGTCTGGTAGCACCTGGGGCGATGTTTAATCCCGCTGGTGGCGGAAATGGTCAGCGCGGCTGGAGCGACGAATCGTTCAGGTATTTTCGATTGTGTTTTGCGCCGATGCAGGAAGGGGATGTGGCGGCATCGGCGAAGGGGTTTGTGGAGGGTTGTAGGGATTTCTGGTTGCAGGGGGTTTTGGAGGACGATGACGATGACGACGACGAGTAAAGGAGGTGGGGGATTTACCTTGGCCTTTCATCTGTCTCTAGATGGATATATTTTTTGATATATATCTCTCGGTTGATGCCACGCCACGTTCTTTTTAAAACACTCATCAGGTATGCATATTCTATTCCGTGGACTGTCAGATAACTTAGATCAAAAAATATTCAACCCAGTCCACTTCTATCCATCCAATCTCCAACAGCTCTGTGCACTTGCGGTCTATAATGTGCATATACCAGTAACCATATACAATTTCCACCGTTGGTCACAATGGCTGCGAAATAGAAAATCAACCTCTAGCCAAGTAGCCCGAACATCAGCATGTATTATCAGAATTTTACGCGGCTAATGAAGGCCACTCATTTGCCATCTGCACATTGCTCAACATCAAAAGTTTCATTGTTATAGGTGGGTCGGGTTACGGTTATATGCGGAGGCGCAGTCACTCAGCCACCAACACCACTGCATATAACCTGGTTATTGCTGGCGTGTGTTCAATTTCATGTTCATACGTACAGGATACTTGTATCTAGTAAGAGAAACACTATTAAATTCAGGTACATGTGACTTTGTGGAATCAATCGTAAACCACCGCATCAACAATATCGCCATGTGACGGGACGGTAATATACATGGATGAAAGTTTTGGTATGCTATCGTGACCCTGCGAGAAGCCGGAAACCTAGTTCAAACGCAGTCTGTCCGTGAATACTCGTCCCGATCCTTCTCTCCACCGAATGGCCATTGCATATCCTCAATGAAACATCCACAACCATGACCTCGTGTCCGAACGATGAGCTCGCCGAAGAGATCAATTCCGTCAATGCAATATACGGCCCTTCCACAATAACGCTGACATCAAACCCGTCCAATTCCCCTCCCCGTCGGCCGAATGAGCTACCGGTCACAACCACAATAATCCTCCGGATACCCAATCGGCCAGATTTCTCGTTCCTTCTTGGTTTCGACAGCAAATACCCCTCTAGTCCTCCCCGAGTCATTGGCACTGCGTCCACCAGTTCTCGGGGCGAAGGGAAAAAATGTCTCGATGTATTGAGTGGCTCAGTGCAGAAAGTGTGGCAAGATGGCTTCGTCTGTCTTTATGATCTTATAGAGGAATGCGTGGAGCGGTTCGGAGATATGCGAGGGGGAGAGCTTGAGGAATCCGCTGCTGCTGCTGCTGCTGCTGCTGCTGGCGACGAAACTGCGGACACCTCTACTCCAGTATCTCCAACAGTAGGTACAACTTCTTCACCACCATCATTACATGCGTCATTTGGTCTCGAGAGTCCCCCAGACTGGGTCGTTTCAGAACCCGTGACGGAGAAGAAATCAGTGTTCATTGCCCGTGTCGCCCGAGTCCAATCGACAGAGACGGCGAAAAAATATCTCGATTACCTTCTTGGTACGGAGAAGAAGATCGCAGCGGCAACGCACAATATCACAGCCTGGCGAATCAAGCAAAAACCCGGGCGGGGTCCCAATGGGGTTCCTTCTGGTGAGGAAACTATCTTTCAAGATTTCGATGATGACGGCGAAACTGCTGCTGGGGGCAGATTGTTACATCTTATGCAGTTGATGGATGTATGGGATGTGGTCGTCGTTGTGACCCGATGGTATGGGGGAGTTAAGTTAGGCCCTGACCGGTTCCGAATCATCAATACAGCCGCCCGTGATGCCCTGTTAAAGGCTGGATTTACGAAGTTTGAAGGAGGCACTTCCCAGGAAAAGGGCAAGAAAAAAGGTAAACGATAAATAATTATGGTGCCTTTACATACTTTCTATTTTTTACGGCATTCTCATTGAAAACAGGAAATTATCTATATCCTGTCTAAAACACCCGATTTCTCACATCTATAGCTTGCTTGATGGAGCAACCAACTTCTCCACCTCAGCGAATTGGTAGTAGAACTCGAGGCTCTCAGGATTGGCTAGTGTGCCCGACGGCTTGATCACTTTGCCAGACACAATCTGTTTGACTGGAAGTTCTACCTTCTTCAAGTTGACAGTCGTCTTGGATTTTGGTCAGCATGCAACTTCAATGTGTCCAAAATAGATTTGGGGTATACTTACCGGAATCTCCGGGGTCTCAAACACATATTTCGGCACGTGGCGAGGACTCAATCCGCTTCTGATGGCGGCTTTAACATCGTCTACCATTTTTTTGGTAAATGGAACGCCGGGACGCATGAGCACGAATAACATGACTGTTTCATCCGAGTCGCGGGGTCGACGCTGTCCCACGCAGATGGAGTCGGAGATCTCATTGGCAAATTCGTTCTCGAGAATGCTGTATACTTCGGAGGACCCAAACCGTACGCTTGAAGGATTTAGAACGCCATCTGCACGTCCCAGGAAAAATATTTGCTTCGTGGCGGGGTGTATCATGACGAAATCACCATGGGTCCAGACATCTGAATATAATAGTTAGCCAGGAAAATCAAAAATTCCAACAAGAGGGAGCGTGTCAGAATTACCATCAAATCGAGCAAAATATGCGTCGAAATATCGCTCTGCGCCGTTCTCGCCCCAGAACATGACGGGCATGTTAGGAAATGCTGCTGTCGCAACCAGTTCGCCTGGAACTCCTTCCTCTAGCGGAATGCCTTTCACACCCTTCCCACCCTCCACAGTCTGATCATAAACTGCAATAGGTGTCCCAAGACTAGGTCCCTGGCATCCACCCACATACAACGGCGTCAAAGCGTTTGAAGTTCCAAATGTGCCTGCAATATCTGTACCGCCAGAAATATTTGAAAGCTGCACGTTGGGTGGGAACCCTTTGTCATAAAACCACTCGAAAAGAGCGTCGGAAAGCACCATCCCAGTGCTTGTCAATACCTCCAGATTGCTAAGATCAGTGACCTCTCGAGGATGAATGCCGTTCCTTTGCAATTCGTACATATAGCGTGGGGAGGTGCCCAGGTGGGTTACCCTGGCTCAATAAGCGTGCGTCTCGTGAAGTCTATTTTAGGCCTGGAACTTACTTCTGCTCTCCCGCCAATTTGATGAAGGAAGTGGCATCTGGTAAAAAGGGGCTGCCGTCGTACAGGACTACTCTGCATCCATGCATCAATGGCTGCAACCCACTGAGATACATTATCCATCCTGTTGTGGTGTATTGTAGAGCCACCGAAGTCGAATTCATTTCTCGATGCAGTATACCTTCCTTTAACCCGCTCAAGACAATGCCTCCAACAGAATGCACAATGCATTTTGGCGTTCCAGTCGTTCCTGATTACATTCTCGTCAGAGCCTCCAGCCCTCGAAACCCACACAAATGGTTGATACAAGATTCATACCTGAGGAATAAACGACCAAGAACGGATCCGAAAACTTAACTCTCACAAACTCTAGCTTATCGCCCTTTGCTTTGGCCAAGAAAGTTGCCAAGGTTTGCGCTCTGGGCACCATGTTCACATCGGCGGGACAATCTTGGAATCGAGGCTGTGATACGATGCCTTGAAACTCCACCACACCTTCCATCCCACGAACAATGGCATTCATCTTCGATCTCAAATCGATTGTTTTCCCATCATACACTGTCCAATCGTCCATGAACAGCCACTGGGGTTTGATCTGGAGCAAGCGATCCAGAATCCCCTTGGCACCCATGTCGGTCGAGCTCGACGAAAATAGGCCTCCCAGCGCAGTCACAGCTAAAAATACAACAAGAGTATCGATACTATTGCTTGCAACAACCGCCACCCGATCGCCCTTTTTCACACCCGCAGCTTTCATAGCCTGGGATAACTTTCCAACCCTCCTCCTGAGTTCCCCAAACGTAATATTCCGTGTCCCCTCCGCACCACCTTCCCGAACCTCGGTCACTGCATCTTTACTATCTTCTTTGCCAGCCGTGGACACTCCGGATGATCCGGAACAAGTGAAAAGCATGTTCTCTGCGAAATTCATGTACGTGCCCGCGAACCATTCCGGGATGCTGTCCATGCGTGCCGTCTCATCGACGACGCTTGTGTAGGTACCCGAGTGGATAGGGTTGAGGTCGTGCCAGCAGAATTCCCAGAATGCAGCGCGGCTATTGACAGAGTAGTCGTAGAGCGAGAGGAAGGTCTGGATATTTTGGTCTTGCGTTAACTAGCGCCCTAACCATGTTGGTCTACATTTTTGCTTTTGGAAATGTACCAGCCGCCCGGGAAGGGGTAGTAGCGAAGAAAGAAAGCAGGGTAAAATGAGGGGGGCATAATACTGCAAAAATCCAGATAGAATGTAGCAAAGATAGGGATTCAAAACCAATTCAGCCTTCATATGCAAAATGGGGCCACGTACTGGAAACTTCAACCCTGTCTTGCGCTCTAGCCGACGTCGAAACTGGCCCAGGTTCGACGACTCGGGATTGGGATGCTCCCATAACTTACGTGGTACCGCGTACGTCGACATGTTTATATATATAAGGGACGATGGTTGTTTTGGGGGGAAAGCAGTCACAAACGAGTGACCGGAATCAGCACTGTTGGCGCAGTAGCAAGGATAATACTACTACTACTACTACTACTAATAATAATAATAATAATATACACCACAAAGCTTCTCCAGCTCCACAACAAGAACAAGGCGATTTGGGAACTAAAAACAAGAATTCCGGCTATGAAGACCAAATATAATTCAGCTCTAAAAGATCCCCAGCACATCGCCACTCTCTTTCTCTTGACGCCCTCCCCCACATATCCAGGGTTTATTGTGCGGTGCAGGTCGGTCTGCTCTACCCGGCACTCGGCTTTCATTTTCCTGTTTTCTTATCTATTGTCCCATTAAATCGTTCCCCCGGGTTTTGTGTGGCGGGGCCCCTTAGTGCCGACTTCCTCGGCTTCAAGCGGTTTGGCATTGCCGGCCGAGGAGCAAACTAAGGAGATGAACTTGAAAACTCAATCTTGCTTCTCCTGGAGGTTTTGAGTGTGGTATCTGGGGCCTGGTAAGGCGTCCATATATCTATCTCTAGGAGAGTAACATATATGTAGCTATGTATTTATAGCGTTGGCCCATGGCTTCAACATTGACGATAGCCGAAGGGGGCACGATCCTCCGTGGGTACCAAGGTTCTGAGCATTATATGGAAGAAGGCTGTTTCGGCAAATACAGATGAGCCACTTACCGTCGCATTCTCGATCGATTTGATATGAAGCCGGCCATAGATCACCTAATTCGACTGACTAAATACGGTAGCCAAAAAAAAATAAGAAAAAAAAGAAAAAAAAGAAAAAAAGAAAAAGAAAAAAAACTCTTAGTTGATACCGATCAAAACTCGAATTCCCAGGGAGCATTGGCCACTGATTATTGCAGAGTTGTATATCCCAAGGTTGGCCACAATCGCCCCCTATCGATATTTCCACGTCGAGCAGCATGGACGAAGGAGAGTCCTTTTTCACCCATTGGTGCCCTGTCGTTTCTATCTAGCAACAGGCCGACTTCGATGCGTGTATAATAAGTGTTCTGCCATTGCGTAATTGCCAAAGTGGTACGCCAAAAGTTCACACTGTAAAGGACTCGCTTGAGAAACGCTCGGTGCTACAGGACATGAATCAAGGAAACATGAAGAACAAGATCAACTGCAAAAATATCTGCAATTGAAGAGTTAACGAAAATGAAGTTTCCAACTGGCCTATTCTCCCGCATTTTCCTGAAGGATGCTGGGAAAGGGGTACACATCTACCGGCAGTGTGATTGGCATAAAATGGAGAACAATGTACGGCCTTTGCCACACAGAAGCCCCAGGTCTAGTACAAGCAGAGCCCCAGGAGAAAAAAAAAAAAAAAAAAAAAAAAAAAACAGAAAGAACAAAAGCAAAAATGATGAAACGAAATGGACCTCAAGCTCCAATGTCATGCTTGGTGAGAAGTTGTGAAGAAATTGAACAAGCGCTCTTGCTCTTAGCCCAGGATGAACGCAAGAGAAAAAGAGATTCCTGCCAGATTGGACAGATCTAGACAAGCTTTTGCTCCTGTAGTATGTGGACTTTAATAGAGAAGGATGGGAAGGTCGGGTAGAACTCGTTTAAAATTGATTCATGCTCTACCTTCTTACTACTTCATTTTAAAGTAACGGCGGGATGTCGCATGGGGGAAGCACCAAGCGAAAAAGAACAAATGATAGGAGGCAAAGTGCCCTCCCTAGCTTCATTCTTTTGAGGATTCATGGAAATTTTTGTTTGGGGATTCGGCATGAGGGAATCATGCTAGGAAACCTATCGCCAATGGGAATATATTCAGCAATGGGTAGTGGCACATTTGGATTGTGTGCATCCCAGGAGATTTAAATGCCCAACCATCTGGAGACACAGTCTAGTCATCCATTTTCACTTGAAACACAGCCTTAGTATTCCGTTGGCAAAAAATAAGGTGTAATAGCCTTAGGGCATCAGTAGCTCCTGTTGGTATTGGCCTCAGGTCAAACCCCAATCGTAAATATTGTTTTCAATTCTCATCCATCGCAATACATCTTTCCCAACGCTCTGTTCGATACAAGTGTCTCATAGCTTTCTTAATACCGAGTGCTTCTGTGGCACTAAGTATATGGTCATCTGCCAGAAGCGACCTATGCTATATTAGCTAGTTGGCCGTCGAAGGAACAAAGGCAACCTCGACAAGTCGAAGCCCAAAGTGACTTTACATTGCCCCCCAAAGGCGCCTCCCTTTCTTCAGTAGCTGGTGGATTCCTTGTGCTGTTTAGCCACGAATCCAAGAAAATCAAATTCCTCACAATTTGGTGTCTGCCATTGAAATTTCAAATGAAGGGTGAGCATATCCACCTCCATTCCAACCGACTAAATCCGTAGATGAAACTCTGGAATGATTCAATTGCTTTGCTCCACTTATGAGCTTGAGAGTGGCTCGCAAGATGACCTGGCTGAAGATTCAAAAAACGACATCTGATATGTGACGGGAGGTCTTGAGCAAGAGAACTGGGGCCAGCGGCAGCACGGAGCAGAGATCGTACTCAACCTAGTGAGATTCACGGAATGCACGGGAGAGCTGGGGGTGTCTCCACCAGGTTGGCGCCTAACAGAAACACGCATCCATCTGGAGTTGCGGAGCCCCGAGTTTCCATGCTACTAATGCGTTAGGGAGGAGATGGAGAATCTAGCTTGAAGGAGGACTCTGTTCGATCCTCCATTCGCCGTCCCATGGCCATTCGATGCCGATGGTGTGATGACTTTGTTGAGACTATCCTACCGTGACAGGTGGATTTCAGGACCGTGGGGTCGCGATACCCGAGAGAGATAGATGAGGCACTTGCGATGTGTCGAGGAAACAGAGATTCATCAAACCTAGGAAACGATATCATTGACGGAGCAGCTATAGCCTATTCTCCACCATGTTCTCGTAAGAACAACAACAATAATAATCCAAACGTCTGACGGCAAAATGATCACCACATGGCGGGAGCTCATACGCTCTCCGTCCGTCACTGTGGGCCACCAAACCAGAACAATGTTTCTCCCTCATTATGTGGGGAAAAACTATCCGGAAACGCCATTGAAACCCGGAAGAAATGAGAGCGAAACGGGGGACTTCGTTAGATGCGAGCCTCATATCCACCAGGCGATAGGTTGGCGAATATCCAATGAATAGCCACATGTTCCTTCTTCAAAAAATCTCCTAACTAGAGGCTTGAGTCTTCGAACGACAATGATACTAGAGCTCAATAGTGGTGACTAGCGTTCGTCGTCGGTGCCGTTGCATTGCAACGGAGACTGCGTTTCAAAACTGGTGGATGAATCATATTTCCCCTACACTCCAGACGGTTTTCAAAGGCTTCTCGATATCCAATCGTCGACATCAAACTATCGAGATACCGGACATGGGAGAATGATCATGTACCGGACGGATTGTCACATTCGTCGATAACCAGTGGTTCAATGTTTGATACAGATGCACGAATCACGAAGGTTGGCCAAACGGCACGATCAGCGAGCGATCCACGCTGTTACACTGACTCTGGCGATTCGCAAATCATCCGATGCGATTCGGCATGCCGGCCTGTGGTGGTTGGCTATTCGTTGACCACCGCAGCGCCTGGCAGCCCTCGCTGGTGTTATCACATTTATATGACCTGTTGGCTGGGTCACTACTCCGTAGTCAATCTATCTTTGAATTTCAGTCAATGAAGGATAAAAATATTCATTGGCATTTTTAGTATTACTTCCTCTTTCTTTTTTTTTTCTTTTTTTCTTTTTCTTTCTGCATAGACAAGCTGAAACATGCGAAGTTGCAAGGTTACGCCGTATGCACACAGACGAAGCCGCTTCGCTCTGAACACCAATTACACAGAGAGAAACCCCTGGATAATATCCGTAGACAAATAACAGGGACCCTGGGATTATGCCAGGGCCAAACGGTGGATTTGTCCAAGGAAATCTCAGTCTTCCTTGGTTAAGCTTTTTGATACATCATGATCCGATGGGGCATATATCCATACTCCGGTATTGGGTAAATGGAGAGCACATCGCCACAAAAAAAAAAAAAAGGATGGATCCAAGCAAGTACTGTGCAAAGTATATAGGTAGTTCAGCATCTACACTGTGCTAGATTTATTATACTCACCGTATTTTCATAGGTTACTACATTCCACAGGAATTTGTCCTGCTAGTCGGTGAATTATGTCCCACAACACTGCAAATCTGCCACCTACTTACGAAAGAAAATAATACAATAAAAATTAATCGCTAGTTGTTTTCGTTCCTAATAACTTATCGAGATTGAGCTCGTTGTTCTCGCGGCTTGTTCTCGCGGCTGCCAACAACTCACCCTGCGGATCCATCCCACGATGATGTTGGCCAGTTTTGACCTTGTGTAGTGATAACACCTTGTCGTGAGCGACCCACCTTACGGGTTTTTGGTGAAAGAAATTCGCCGGGGGTTGACCAGGGAGGAGTTGGATCGAATACCAGCTCAGCTTAGTCGACAGATTTCCAGGGTTCTGTCAGCTTATTTTAGTGGTATTTTGGTGATTCCTTGCTAAACTGGCGGGTGACGAGGAAAAAAAGCAGAAAAAGTAAAAGTAAGATCGTGAATATTTCCCTTGAAATATTCCGTGTTATCAAAGAAAGTATAAAATTTAAAATATAACAACTGGAAACTTCCGGGGATTGGAATGGTTGTACCACAGAAAACGGGCGTTGGTTTCCATGGCTCGGAGAGAACGGTAGAAAGGCTTGGACGATCTTTTTCTTTTTTTAAAGACAGCGAAAGGAAAGGAAGAGGAAGCTTCGTCAAGACGGTGGAAATCTGACTTGTCCTGATTCATTTTCATCATTTCTTATTGAATCCATGAATGAGCTTAACTTATTCTAGAAAGACAAAAGTGAAAGGGATGACACTTATGCAGCCTTCAGTGGGGTTCGTGCTTGAAAGCATTTTCCACACCGACGGTTGTTTCAGGTTTTTTGGCGGGTGGGCAGAAGTCGAAAGTAATACATAGTACTGTTTTATTCAAGGAACCACAGGCCTGGGAATTACTCTGTCGAGGCAGCCATCTTGCCGGTATCGTTGTGATGGGTCGGTCTGTAACCTCACTCGTAGGACAGGAAATTGAGCAATGTGTGTGATTGGGCATCTTTGTATCGACTTAAATGGCGCGAGTTTCGCGAAAGATGGGAGTGAAATCGTGTCAGAGAAGGATGATTAATCTTGAGTGCTGAGAGGAAAATTAGAGTAGTTAAATGTAACTCGCTAAAAGGGCTCATTATTATGATCTCCTTCACCCACCGAATCCTAGTCCTTTCGAGAAGTATCCGTGGGGAAAAACCTTGAAGTTTGAGGGGAAAAGAAAGGAAAATACCCTGGAATGCAGCACTAGAAGGATCGCTTTTATTCGCCGGTTGTTAGGTTTCCTGGACTAGCGGCCAACAAGTAGCGGTTCCTGGTCTTTGGCGTGAAAGGCCCAATCAACGATACGCCTGGTGCCTGAAAACAGCCTTCAGGTCAAGCTTGTTCAGATTGAGGATGTCTCGGTGCTCATAGGCCGGAATTTTCAAATGTCCCCAGCCAATAAAAAAGGAATGACTGGCGTCGGCGATCCCGGGCGATGGTCCGTTCATTGTGCCTGCTTGATGGATCAAATGGATTGGCTCTTGAGCATTTTTGCTGACAGGCTCCATTTGTGGCTTGACATTTGTCCAGATGGCGGACAAGTCATGAGCGGAGAAATCGTCCGTCATGGTCAACATGACACTCTTTGTTTCGAGCGAGTCTTTTTTTTTATTTTTAACTTCCTTTAGAGATGAGGCAGACATCCATTCCTTTCAATCCCACACGAGATGAAGCCGAGGATTTGACTGCGAGAGAAAGGCTTCAGCTGTGGCGTCGCTGTTGCTTGGACCCTTGCTGCGTCAAACGGTGACTTTCTGGAAATATTACTCCGATCAAACGGGGCCAGGCACGGGCGAAGCCGCACACACTGTCGCCAGCGCCACAGGGCCAAGATTATACCCACTGGAGGCTACGCTGTAATTCTCGACTCTCTCAAGAATGTTGGGTCGCCAGTGCTGGCGCTGTTGAACATTTTGCAAGATAAACTGATCGATGGGAGTGGGCCCTGAGGATGGGCACAGTCATCTTGAGAGGGTGTTGCCCCATCTGACCTTGGCTTTCAATTTCAGCAGCGTTGTCCCTCTGTTACGCCCAAATTGTAGGAGTGTGAAAGGTAAGTCGTATCATGATGGGACGTCCAAGCGGCAGTAATTGGCCTGGCTGCGTAGTTAGCCTGGATTGGAGCCATTTGGTGGCAGCCCACGGTTCCACGGGCGCAACATCCGTACGTTTTGTACTCCACCACCCACCACATCAACGACTCGACACTGGTTGCAGCCTTGGAAGCGAGTCGCTGTGCGATCTCTCTGCCATCCTCTCTGGACTCGACGGAGTACCCACAGTGTGAATGTTAGATCCCTTGCGCCTGAGGAAAAACAGTCTCAGACTCAGAGGAACACTATCGAGTCCCTTGATTGTTTCCAGTTTCGTTTCTCTCATTTCTCCTCACATCTCTACTCCCAAGTCCCTCCAGTAAGATGACTGCGTCAAATCACTCGATCAGGAACGAAACATCATGCCCTGA